AGGGAGAGGAGGGGGGAGAGGAGGGAAGGAGAGGAGAAAGGGAGAGGAGGAAGGGAGCGGAGGGAGCGAGAGGAGGGAAGGAGAGGAGGGAAGGAGAGGAGGGGGGGAGGGCGCAAAGGGGGGAAGGGCTCGAATCCCCCTACCGCCTCTCTGCCGGCTCGGGTTTTGCACCTCCTTTTGCCGAAAACATAGAAAAACACAGTGTTTTCGACCTCCTATATTTTGATGCTCGGCCTCCTTCAGGCTGGAAAAAAAACGTTTTGTGTGCGCAATTTGCATCCTTTTGGCGAAGCCGTTGACATGAAGGAGAAGTGGGTCGGGCAGCGCAGAGGCGATGGAAAGCAGATCGGGGACCTTGGACACTGCTTGGGCGCTGCAAAGGGGCAGGGACACGCTTGGAAAATCAGGGAAGCAGGAAGCCAGAGAGGATAGAGGATAACCCCTCCCCCCCAACCCCCCCGCTTCCCGGGGCACGTCAACGACGCAGGGTTTGGGGGGCACGTGCCATGCGGAAATGATAACAAAAAAGCCAAGAGAAGGGAAGATAAGAGAAGATAAGAGAAGAGCAGCGCAGAAACAGGAAGAGAAGAAGAGGTCAATGTCGGCGGACTGAGCCGGAGGCTCTAAAGTTTGCTAAGCGAGACTAAACTTTTTCACCAACAGCGGGGACCACATAGAGCCAGTACGTATACTTCGCTCACTATGCTTGTACTTCGAAGTTGCGACTTTGGAAATGGAGCTGCAAAAGTTCATGTCGTATTCTACGCTCGTGCTGAAAAGTTGCGACTTGCGATGTTTTGTGCCAATGTACTTGTGCTTGTGGAAGTTGCGACTTTAGAGCTGGAGCTGGCCAAGCGCTCCTTGTGCGCAACTACACTTGTGCTGTAAAGTTTGCGACTTGGAGCCATCTTTTTGGGTTCCATGGCTTTGTGTGGAGATTTCCTATCCTTTTTGTGGGGGGTTGCTTGTTTAGCTCCATTCGGTTCTTTGAGGGTTCCTTCCTGGGTTCCACCGTTTTGGTGGATGGTTTCCTTGTTGGATTCCGTTGGAGGGTTACCAATTGTGTTTCGTCGGTTTTTGGTCGGAGGGTTCCTTTTTGGGTTACATCTTTGTTTTGGAGGGTTCCTTGTTGGGTTTCGTTTTTTTTGGAGGGTTCTTCATCGTTCTTTTTGAAAGGTTTCTTTGGGGTTCCACCCTTTTCTTGGAGGGTTCCTTTTTGGGTTCCACCCTGAGGTCCCCGAAAAGCATTTTTTCCGGTCAAACGCGGTTTTTCCAAGAGCGCTAGTTTCTTCAGTAATTTGCCTTGTTTGCATTCATTTGACCAAATGGACACGTATTTTGGCGAGAAGCAACTGCAACACAAATAGGACCGACCGCCCTGACATTCAATTGTGAGAATGGGATACAGTCAATGAAGTCAAAACTTAACAAGGGGGAAATATCATGTCCCAAAAGCCGAAGACATTAAATTTCCCCCTGCGGACTTTGTTTTCCAAATCAAAAGGTTGCGCATTGTTTGGGGAGGAATCCCTTGGGTTCCATCGTTTTTTGGAACGCTTTTGTATGTTTTTGTTTGGGCTCCGGCCTTCTGGTGGAGGGTCCCGTTTGGCTTCCAGCCTGGAGCCCTGTCTTTCCAGTCAAAATGGGGGTTTTGCACGATGTTACACGTACCTTTGTTTTCTTGTCATTTGCCTTGTCGGCCCTTGTTTGGCCGTATACAACTCGTATGTTGTCCATCAAATGTTGAAGAAAACGAGGCAACGTGTTTGCCCGCATTGCCATTTTGTCTGGCAAACCCCTTTGGCCAAAAACCGCCTTGTGGCGTTCCAGGATCTTTTCTTGAACCGTTCTTTTTTGGGTTTGTTTTCATCATCTTTTGAACTTTTCATGTTTGGGTTCTATCGTTGCTTTTGTGGGAAGACTGCAGTCGAGCCCACCGTGTCCCGACTACAGCTTCTCCTCATGTTTCTTTGGTGGGGGAGTTGCTGGACGCTCAGGATGTTGCCGAATGCTGCTGGCGCCGCTGGCCTTCAAAAACTGTATATGGTCGGGCCCAACATGCAGCGTTTCCTTATTTTTCAGGGGGTGCTGCTCGAGGTGTTTCTTCTGGTGCTGGGGGTGTTGCTGGGGCATCATCACAGTCACTAAAATACACAAGAATCGCACAAGTGCCTCATAATTCTGATTGATCAATCGGGATTCCATTATTTTAGCAAGTATAAAGTCGCCAGGCAAGGTTTGGGCGTGGAATCTCTGAGTACAATGTTTGTTCGATAGTCATGTTTTGGAAACTCAAACAAAAGATACGCCGTGATGCGCCTCAAGAGTAGTTTCGAATTATTTGCATCAGTCAATATCATGCTTATTTGCTTGCAAGAGTTGGTACGAACATCATGATGAGTAAAACGCGTTGACAAATATTCGGCCTTTTGGGACCAACCTCTCACATCAATTGTTTGTGTGATGTTTGGGGTGTTAAATTTGGACTGCTCAGGTTCGTTTGGAACCCCCCCAAGAAAAAACGTACTCAACCCTTTTTTGGGCACATGTGAAGAGGGCACCTGATCAAAACAAAACTATTCGCTGCATAGTCAAAGCGCATGATTCGAAATCCAAAGGAAGTCTGAAGCAGTATGCATGTTTCAGATGTGACTGATGCGATGCCCTTTGTGTAGTGAGTTGAATTCTGTTCCGACTTCTTGTTTATCAGTTTATCATGTTTTTACTGAAAATGTGAAATTGAGAAAAACACAGATTTTTCACATTTGTTCAGATTATGAAACATTCAGGTGGAAGGGTCTGAAAAAGCCGGGACAAATCTGAATTTGTTTGAATCTGAATGTCTAAGTAAAGAGCATCAAGAAAATCTGAAACATGCAAATTGTTTCAGACTTTCTTCAGAATTGAATCATATGTCTGATTGCAATATCCAAGTACTTGTTTTGATTGCTGGCGGGTCATCGGACAAAACTATTCTGAGTATGCAGCGCTCAACAGTCCTGTGCTTCAACCCCAAACACAGGATACACACATGCTGTGCTTAAAGAATAGTTTTGATTCGTGTGCATCGTTCTATATCGTGTGTAGTAATTTACAAGAACTCGTAAGGTCATCAGGAGTAAACATCGTTGCCAAATGTCATTCCAGACACTGAGATGAAGGTAGATAAAACAAGAAAGTGCAGGCGTTAGTTGTTACTGCAGAAGGGGAAACACGAAAGGTAGCAAGTCGTCAAGAAGGCAATCTGCGGCAAGCAACCCAGGCAAAATCTGCATCAAGCAAGCCGGGCAAATCTGCGGCAAACCAATCCAGGAAAAGTCTGCATCAAGCAATCCAGGCAAAACCTGAATCAAGCAATCCAGGCAAAATCTGCATCAAACAATCCAGGCAAAAATCTGCCTCAAGCTAACCCAGGCAAAATCGGCGGCAAGCAATCCAGGCAACATCCTCATCAAGCACTGCATGCAAAATCTGCATCAAGGAATCCAGGCAAAATCCGGCAAAACATCCAGGCAAAATCTGCATCAAGCAACCCAGGCAAAATCTGCATCAAGCAATCCAGGCAAAATCTGCATCCAGATATCCAGGCAAAATCTGCATCAAGCAATCCGGGCAAAATCTGCATCAAGCAATCCAGGCACGGTCTGCAGCAAGCAATCCAGGCAAAATGCGCGGCAAGCAAGCAATCGAGGCAAATCTGCAGAGAAAAGAAGCGGCGAGTCAAACGGGGAGGCGGGGGCGGACCAGCAGGCGAGTCGAAGGGCAGGGGGGAGTCGAAGGCCCGGGGGGGGGGGATTTTTCATTGTTTTGTGATCGCCCAGTCAAATACAAGGACCAACGCGGGTTAGCCTCCTTGAGGCCACCTTTCGTGACAAGAATGTCCTCAGTGTGTCGTAATGGCACTTTGCATTGTCTGTGTGAGAGGATGAGCACTCTTCGACAATTGTGGAAAATGAGTCTTGGCAATACCAAATTTAATATTTCCAAGACCTACGTAATGAATCTTAGATTCCCATGACTTAGCAAGTATTAACTTCATTATTTCCAAGACGCTCGGCCACAACTACACCAAGTATGGCCAAGATTAGGTTCCCAGTTCTAGTGCTTCCAATACTTAATTTTGGAGAAGGTTTCCAGCGCTTGGCAGAGCGCCTATACTTAACGCATCTTAAGCTCCGAGTACTTAGTCTAGTTTTAGCACGTAATCCTTGACTTTCAGTACTTAGCTCAGCATTGGCAATATTTAACCTTAGGTTTCCAGCTCTTGCAGTGTCGATGTTATCAGTTGGTAGACTCAGTCCTGACACTCAAAGTGCGGCTGGAGCAAAAGGACGCTAGCTTCTCACGCTTCAGCCACGTGAGGTCTTCACTGCGCTGCCAAGTTCACAAGCTAAGGACGCACGTTCCAAAATCACTCGAATTTCTGCGAAAGCTAAGTTCCCCTAAGTTCCCTAAGTTTCCTAAGAAATTTAGGCTAGGAGTTGCTAGAACTTCGCGATAAGTATTTATAAGTTCTCTAGAGGTTACACTATGATCTAGTGTAACCTCCCTAAGTTGCTATAGAACTTGCTACGAGTTGTATAGAAACTTGCGTTTTTTGATGGGGTATAAGTTAGCACATAGAAGTAATTAGTAGGGTTATAAGTCTCTATAAAACATAGCCTAACCACTACACATGGCAGTAGGTCGCATCCAAACAAGCTCTTTTACGCTAGTTGGCTAGTTGGCTTGACAATGTGACCAAGATCATCCCTGCCAGCGCCAGAAACTTTTCAAGCTGTGCGCCCGTCTTGCAAACAGTACAGCGTTTGGATAGGCGCACACTGATTGCTGACCCCATCGTTGTGCTTCGTCTAATCCGAGTGGGTTCCGCCCAACCTGTTTCGCCACAACAGTAGCAACAACAACAGCAGCAGCAACAACATTTGACTCTTCAACATGAAACGAGCTGTTTCTACAAATTATCTGGCTCAGCTTGCTGAAGCGGCAACCCAGAGCCGTGCACTTTTCTTGGACGTCGAGCTAGGCAAGCCTCATAGTGTCACTGGCGCCTCCAGCATGGACGATGCAGCTAGAACGCTGCCCATGGCAAAAGCTTGGCATGAAGCATATGCCTTCTGACCAAGTTGCGCTATCAAAGAGCGCGAGAATACGGGTCCTGCAAATCGCCCGATGCCATTCGAGATGATGCCGTTGATGAGCATGACATTGTTCGCGTCAAACATAGAACCATCTGGAAAGACGTTGTTGTTGAGAAGGCCCATGTTCAACGCCCCTGCCAAGTAGACAGACGGGAAAATAACACAATCTGCGGCGATGATGCCCGTCGGCTGTGTGGCAGTACCTGCGAAGGTCAAGATAGTGACCTCACAATTTTCCAGAACCTGTCTAGCGCTAAAAAAGTGCACCAACATCATGTGTGCCCAAATAGTTTCCCCAAGCTTGCTTATGCGGCCACTCCGCGAGCTGAGACGGTGCTTGACAACTGTCGCGCGGGTTTCCTATTTGGAGTGCGTTTAGCGGTGAGTGAAACACTCAGAAGGTCCATTTTGGCACTGGGGATCGAACACTGCTTCGTGCCAAGTAAAGGACAAGCAAATGGCTAGGGCTGCAAGTTGAATCAGTCTGCAAATGTGCTGCAAAGCGCGCAGGAATGGGACACGGACGAATACAAGGCTGTAGCCTGAATGACCTCACCCAAAAGCACGGCAAGAAATCATGTGCCCTACACTAACTGCGGTCTAAAGCCACTAGCCCCGACATGAGAAACGCACGCTTGAGCCCCACACCAGAAGGAAACAAAATCCGGGCTGTGAGACACACGAACACAAACACAATGACCCTGCGCGTAGGCCTCATTGAGTGAAAGAACTTTCTCGCATCATCAGCGCCCCCGCTCACCCATGACGAAACCATACTCGGGATGCAACCCTCCGACTCAACAAAAGAAATCAAGTCAAACACAGAACACGTTGGACATGGCAGTTCGCAAATCTTCTAGCTTCGACGGCGGTGCTGGACCAACCCTTGAAGTTTTCATCAAAGCCTTCGTGATTTTGGCAGCATTAATTATGCCCTGTTCAAACATATCTTCTTCCGCAAACACCCGTTAAGAAGTGGGTTATCACAGTCACTTGGCGCCATTGCGCAAACGACCTATGCAAGACTGAGCAGCGCGGCTTTCTGCCCAATGTCGGAAGATGAGTGTTTGCGCCCGAAAGCCAACGCTCTTGCGCGCAACGCCCGAAGGCGCCTGATCCGGAACTGGACAGCTCGCAATGCTCCCCGGCCTTTGACTCCGCATCAGTCTTAAGCAAGAGCGCTTTGTTGTTCAACATGTTGGTTTTGACGCAAGCCACGGCGCCGACCCGCGTGAATCTGCGTTTGAAGCGCAAGAGGGCGCGGCACACAGCCCCCCGGCGCCCCCAAATCTTGGCCGTTTCCCAAACAGAGGCGTTTGCTTTCTCGGAGCGCTTCCAGCCGGTGTGCGTCCCACTCTCGACCCCTTGCGGTTAGACAACTACACGAGAACTCAAACCCAGATGGGCTGTTGGGAATGAACATAGATAAAATACGTGAGCGCCTGCAAATGCATTCGTGCGTGTGCCCTCTGCGCGTGCGATCGCGCTGAATTTAGAACATCGCGGCTTTTCGCCTAGCATGACTGTGGCCAGCATGGCGAGGCAGGTGTAGATCCTGATCCAAGCGACGTCGCCGAACCACTCCGCGTAGCGCTTGTGCAGCCTGATCCCCAGGCTCTTGACTAGTGTAGTGATTCTGTCAATGCAAATTCTAAGATGCTGTCTGAGCAGCATATAGCCTGGCACCACAAGACAAAATGTCAGCCCAATGACCAAGCCCACGCTGTCATGGCGCCATGAGAAGTGATCTTGCAGGAGTAGACAGGATGCTGCTTCCACGCCAGAGACCATGAAGCCACGAAGGGCATCCATGAAAATGC